GGGGCCGCGGCCCCGGAGGGGGTCACCCGGCCGGAGCCCTGAGACGCTGCCCGGCCCGGCTCCACCATGAACGTCGCGCTGCAGGAGCTGGGCGGCCGCGGCAACGTGAGTGGGAGCCCGGGCTCTGGGGAGGGGATCCCGGCGGAGGGCTCAGGGCGCGGGCGGCCCGGGCAGGGGATCCGGGCGCCGAGAGGGCCCTGCGCGCGGGGGTGGGGACACGGCGTCCCGGGGGACCGCAGGCCCACAGCGCGGCAGGTGGGCAGGGCTGGGCCGCAGCCCCCCGTGCCTGACCCGCCGGGCGCCCCGCTCTTCTGGCAGATGGTGGAGTACACGCGGGCCACGCTGCGGGAGGAGGATGCTCCCGAGACCCCCGGGGAGCGCGGGGCCTCCGCTGACGCCCTGGAGGTGGGCAAGGGGGCTCCCCCTTCTTCACCAGGCCCTGGGCCCGGCCTGACGCCTGGCGCGCCCAGAAGCTCTGGGCTGTTCCGGAGGGCCACCTGCCCCCAGCTCCGCGCCTGCTCTGGCCTCTGCGCTAGGACTACGGTGAGGCGATACTAAGCCATGACGTTGCATAAAACGGGCCTGGGGCTGGGGATTTAGCTCAGCGGCAAAAGCGCCTGCTTGGCAAGCGCAAGGTCGTGAGTTCGGTTCCTGGTACCGGAGAAACCCCCCCCCCCAAAAAAATGGGCCTGGTTGCCGGGGCCCTGTGTCTTCCCCCTCCGGGAGGTCGGTGTAATCTGAGCGGCCCCTGCTCAGCGCTCAGCTGCATTCTGTCCCCCTGTGCTCCCAGGTGGGGCTCCGGAAGGGCACAACACAACTCTTAGGCTCACACACACAGCTGGAGCTGGCCTTGATGGGTGTCTCTCTACTGCTGGCTGCTCTGCTCCTGGGCTGCCTGGTGGCCCTGGGGGTCCAGGACCACAGAGGTAGGTGGGCCCAAACTGGTCACCATCCCTCCTAGGCGTGGGGACTCTGGAGGTTGAGGCGGCTACAAGTTTCTGGGGTTGGGGCCCAGTTTTCCAGTCTTCTGGCACTCGCGACCCTTCTGGTAACTGAGCATCTCCTGCCCGCTGGCCACGTCCCCTGCGGCAGACCCATCCCGAAGCATGTGTCTCACGGAAGCCTGCGTTCGAGTGGCCGGGAAAATCCTGGAGTCCCTGGACCGTGGAGTGAGCCCCTGTGAGGACTTTTACCAGTTCTCCTGCGGAGGCTGGATTCGGAAGAACCCCCTGCCTGACGGGCGCTCTCGCTGGAACACCTTCAACAGCCTGTGGGACCAGAACCAGGCCATACTGAAGCACGTGCTTGGTGAGTTGGGATGTCGAGGAGGACCTATGCCTCCAATCCATCACAGGGCCTGGCACTTAGTAGGTGTTCAATAAATGTCCACGGGAGAGGAAGCAGACAATGGATTGCTCTGAGCACGCTTGAGGAAGCGCATGCAGAGAACGGGGGTGGGGGCTCTCCTGGGATGGGTTTGAGGGGGGCAGACTTCTGAGTACAATGGCACTGTGGTAAGTACCAGGGACCTTGTAGTGCCGAGGTAGATTTGAGGGGGACAGGAAGCCGCAGTTTGCTGGTTGGGGCCATCTTCTTGGGTCTACATTAGGAGACTGCTCACTGGCAGGGCAAGGAGGGGTCCAGAGCTGGGGTCTCCCCCTTGGAGTTAACCTGTGCGCCGCCTGCGCTCCATGCTCTACCCGCAGAGAACGCCACCTTCAACTCTAGCAGCGAAGCCGAGCGGAAGACGCAGCGCTTCTACCTGTCCTGCCTGCAGGTGGAGCGCATCGAGGATCTGGGCGCCCAGCCCCTGCGGGACCTCATTGACAAGGCAGGGTGCTGGGTGGCCGAGGCCGGGGGAGTGGGAGGGGCTTTGGGAAGAGGACCCGGTCCAAGAGAGCTTTGGGGGCCCCCGACGCCAGAGCTTCCACTTACGATTTCTACTCAGATTGGTGGTTGGAACATTACGGGTCCCTGGGACCAGGACAACTTCATGGAGGTTCTGAAGGCAGTGGCGGGGACCTACAGGGCCACCCCCTTCTTCACTGTCTACATCAGCGCCGACTCTAAGAGTTCCAACAGCAACGTCATCCAGGTGCTGTGCTGGGGGTGGCCGGGGAGGGGCGCAGACTTCCTCTTCAGAGTCCAGACTCCTTCCGCACCCCCAGCCCACCCCAGGAGTCCAGCGCCCGGGGCTGGCCGCAGGGGGCTCAGCTGCTTTCCTTGCTCTTGCAGGTGGACCAGTCTGGGCTCTTCCTGCCCTCGCGAGATTACTACTTAAACAGAACTGCCAATGAGAAAGTAAGGAGCATGCTGAGAACCCCATTCCCAGCCCTTATGCTTTTGGTAGTACACATACACTCTCTGATCCCCATCTACTTTTCTCTTTGTCAAGGGTCAGAGTGGGGAGGTGAGCCCCTCCTGTTGCCTAGTGGGCTAACTGCTCTTTCTACCATTTTTTTCCTTCCTTCTTTCCTTCCTTTTTTTTTTTTTTTTGTTTTTTGTCTTTTTGAGACAGGGTCTCGCTATGCAGTTCAGGCTGGTCTTGAGCTCACTTTGTAGCCCAGGCTGGTCTCAAACTCCCAAGGATCCTCCTGCCTCAGCCTCCCGAGTGCTGGGATTACAGGCGTACGCCACCACGCCCAGCTTTCCTTCCTCTTATCTTCCCAAGAAAACTTCTTCCTTCTCCTCCTCTTTAGATTGAAACCCAGGGCCTCATGCATGCTAGGCAAGTGCTCTACCACTGAGCTACCCTCAACCTCAGCAAACGTTTTATAGGTGCCCACTGCATACCAGGTGCAGCACGGAACTCTGAGGTGTGAGTTTCAGAGACACTGTCACAAGAAGCTGTCAGTGTTGACTGAGGTGCATGCAGCCAGGAATGAGGCTCAAAAGAGGATCTCTGGGATTCGGGGGAGACTTGGTTTCCAGAGTTTTCCTGAAGAGACTGAGTTTGAGCCAGGTCCTGTAGAATGCACAGGGGTGAAAAAGTCCAGTCCGGGTGGAGAGAACGGGTGAAACCAAAGTGCTGAGGAGAGAAAGGCAGGTGTATTCCCACAGTGGAGTGGGTCCGGTTTGGCAAGAAGTGGTGCTCAAAGCAAACAGGAGCCCAACTACTCTGGAGGCTGAGGCAGAAGGATTGCAAGTTTGTAGCCATCCTGGGTAATTTAGTGAGATCCTGTCTCAAAATTTAAAAAAAAAAAAAAAAAAAAAAAACAAAAAAAAAAAAAAAAAAAAAAAAGAAAATTTAAAAAAAAAAAAAAAAAGATTTGAAAAGGGGAGAGGCGGGGCTGGGGATTTAGCTCAGCGGCACAGCGCCTGCCTGGCAAGCACAAGGTCGTGAGTTCGATTCCTGGTACCGGAAAAAAACAAACAAACAAACAAACATACAAAGGGGAGAGGATGAATGTAGCTCAGGGGTAGAGTGCCCCTGTATTTTAGTCCCCAGTACAAAAGCAAAAGTATGTAGGTGCTGGAAAGCTGGCCAAGGGTTACTAGAGGGGATGTGGAATGCCTCACCGAGGAGCTTACAGCCCTGTGAGAGCCACTTAGGGGTGAGCAGCTCCTGGGAGCCAGTTTGGCTGGGGGCAGAGAAGCTGTGTGGGAGGGCGCCTCGCTGTGAGTTAGGAGTCTCTGCAGTCCCCCAGGCTGGGAGCAGTAAGGGAAGACACCACAGAGGGGAGGCAGGAAGCCAGGGTTTCAAAGGACTCAACCGGTAAGAATCGTGATTTGTTGGTGACCGGATGGGAAGAGGGAAGGGGCGAAGACAGCTGAGGCTGAGAGCCTGAGTGATGGTGGTGGGGTGCCAGGGCGTCTGTAGAGAGACTTGGGGCAAGGGCTGCAAGCACATGTGGCAGACACTCATCTTAGATGTGCGCCTTCCAGGGCCCCGGGCAGCTTCTCTGTGGGAAAGCAGAAAGGACAGGACAGGAAGCAGGCAGCCAGAGGCTGTGGGCGTCATCTCCTTGACAAACCAAGACAAAGGCTCGGGCCGCAGAGAGAAGTGGAAAGACGGGAGACAGGCGAGGAGGGAGCCTTGTGTTTAAGGGTTGGGGGGAAGCGTCCGTAAAGGAGCATGCCCCGGAGTAGGACGACCGGACAGTCCTCGGTCTTCCTGTTGTCCTATGCCGCCAGTTCCCCAGCACTCCTCAGCCAGAGCCTCCTCTAGGGGAGCGGTGAACAACACGTTGTCACTTCCCCCTGTGTGGCGGAGCAGACCTGAGCTAGCTGGTCACACAGAGCCCTGTTCACAGTCGTGGGGGCTCTGCTAGAGAAGCCGGGGTCCCCAAGCTAGGGCCAAGGGGGTTGAGGGTGGGCCGAACAAGGGGAGCAGCTTCACAAAGCCTCTGAGGCAGATGAGCGACCCATTGATGTGTCCAGGAAAGAGGGCGCAGGCGGGGAGAGCGACCGCCTGCCTGGACGGGAAGGAGACCCATCTTACACGTGCACAGAGGGGGGCAGATGGGTTACTCGTCTCCCTCCGCCAGAGGAAAGAGAAAGCCCTAAGTGGTGTGAACAGATACGTGACTTTGGCATCATGAGTTCGGGAGAGGAGAGTGTGGAGAGGAGGGAGACAGCTACCTCCCCCGACACTTGGGAAGGCCTTGGCTTTGGCCCTCTGGGTGCCACTGGTTGCCTTGGGCAGGAGGTCTCCTGCCAGGGTCTAGGGAAGGGTGAGTGCAGAAGGTTACCGAAAAGTCTCAGAAGCGAGTCTTTGGCTGGAGATGAGGAGGTAGGGAAAAGGCTACTGTGAGGTCCCTTGGTTGAGCCAACCGTCCCCCTCAGGAGCTGAGATGACTGGGGTTGGTACTCTCCTCTTTCTAGCTGGGCACAGTGGCACACGCCTGTAATCCCAGCACTCTGGGAGGCTGAGGCAGGAGGATCCCAAGTTCAAATCAGCCTAGGCAATTGAAAAGACGTAGTGAGAAACTGCCTCAAATTAAAGAAATTAAAAAAGATCGGGGGGGGGGAGGGGGAGCGGTTAGTACAGTTTGAAGGCTCTGAGTTCAATCTCCAGTACTGCAAAGGCAAGCAAGCAAGCAAACATACAAACAAACAAACAAACAGACTAAACCTCTCCTCTTGGTATCAGCAGCAAGTAACAGGAAGGTCAGAGGGAGAAAGTCTGCACTTTAGAGACTTGATATTAAGGGATGTAAAACTGAAGTGGACGAGGGGAGGGGCTGTGGGACCACAGGTGAACAGTGGGACCTGGGCTCTGGGAGAGGACCCGAGTGCTCGGGGTCTGCTCCAGGATTTGCATCCCTGTCCTCCAATCAAGCACCTGCTGCGCTGCAGACACTGTGCAGTGGTGAACAAAGCAAACAGCCCCATTCTCAAGGAGCTCGGGTGATCATTTGTACTTGGAGTCCGCTGTGTCACCTTCCCAAGCTGCTCTTCTGTGTGACATGGGACCGACAGCCACTTTTTGGACTGGCTGAGGGGCATGGATGGAAAGCCCTAGCAGCCTGATCCGTGTGTACACCAGTTATCACTCAGTGTTTCTTTTCTGTGCTTTTCTCTCCCTTGGAGCAGAGGGGAACGGAGAAAGCAGCAGATTTGAGGCCTGGCAGGATGAGAGGTGGAAGGGCTCGAGGCTGCCGGGGAGCCAAATTCCCTAAGGGACCTGGTCAGATGTTCAGTGCCTCCAATAGGCTGGCACAACCAGAAAGGCTCTAGGAAATGGGAAAGCAAAGCAGTATGGGAAGCAGGACCCGCACTGGACAATGCTTACAGAGAACAGAATTTGTGCTTGGCCCTGCCGAGGCCCTTAGGATCCATGGGTGAACAGCTGCTGCATTGAGCAGTGCTTTCCTGGGAGAGGTAGATGGCAAATAAGTGTACAAATACATAAGCAAGACAGAGCAGAGTGGTAAGAAACCGGGTCACCCAGGAAGGCTTCTTAAAGGAGGGTCAAACAGAAAACCCGGGTCGGGGTGCAGAGGCAGGAGCCGGAACAGACCTCAGCCTTGGGCTCTGAGGACAAGGGGATCCTTGCAGGTGCTCACTGCCTACCTGGACTACATGGAGGAGCTGGGGCTGCTGCTGGGTGGACCGCCAGCCTCCACCCGGGAGCAGATGTGGCAGGTCCTGGAGCTGGAAACACAGCTGGCCAACATCACGGTGCCCCAGGACCAACGGCGCGACGAGGAGAAGATCTATCACAAGATGAGCATCTCGGAGCTGCAGGTGGGGCAGGCAGAGGCCCACCAGCTTCCCTTCTTTCTGAGGCAGCTGGTCAGATCATTTCCCTGCTTTTCTGAGCTTCCCAGCTATACTAACTACAGCTGTCTTGGAAAGAAAACTCGTGATCATTTTATGCCTCCTCTCACAGGCCCACCCCTTGGTGGCTTGTTGCCTGTGGATGCATGGGAAGATCGTGTTTAAAATGTATACTTGGCCAAACCTTGTGGTGTGCACTTGTAGTACTAGCACTTAGAGTTTGAGACCAGCTTGTGCTACAGAGTGAAACCCTGTCTCAATGAAACAAAACAAAACAAGCAAAAACAATCAGAGAGCTGATCGTGGTGGCGCACTCCTGAAACCCCAGCACTTGGGAGGCTGAGGCAGGAGAATCTTGTCAGTTCGAGACCAGCCTGGGCTACAAAGTGAGCTCAAGGCCAGCCTGAACTGCATAGTGACACCCTGTCTCAAAAAGGAAAAACAAAAACAAAAAACCCCAGACAATCAGAAAGGCTATGGAAATGTCTCCTGGAGGCTCCTGTGCCTGGGGTCACCCTTTCTGGTGTCAGATTATGGTGAGGGAAGGGGAGGTTCTGGAGGAGGGGCCAGGTATGTGGGAAGTGTCAGGGGAGTGGTATTTTATCAACTGTTATGAGAATATTTGGATATCTGTGCTGCGGTTGAGTATCACAATTGGTGGTTCCCCTTGTATAGTAAGTGGTTTGGCACCAAGCTTGAGGGGCCTGCAGGCCTGGAAAGGGTTTATTGAAGGAAGGAGTCATCAAGCTGCCAGGAGCTGTTGCCATGGCAACGGGAAGGACTCCCAGGCTACCGCACATCCATGGGGGAGGGGTATGCTGGAAGCCCAGCTGACAGGCGAGGAAGCCTGAGATCCTGTTTGCTCTCAGGCTCTGGCGCCCTCGGTGGACTGGCTCGAGTTCCTGTCTTTCTTGCTGGCACCCTTGGAGTTGGGTGACTCTGAGCCTGTGGTGGTGTATGGCATGGATTATTTGCAGCAGGTGTCAGACCTCATCAACCGCACAGAACCAAGGTGAGGGGGACCCCAAGATGTAAGGGGAAGGCGGACTCAAGACTCTGAGGAGGTGTCTGGCAGGTACTGGGCACAGTGGACTGGCATAGCCAAACAGAAGGTTTGGACCTCCCAAACATCAAGTGAGGCTGCCTGGGTGAGAATTTCAAGGTGCCCTTTGTGAACTCCGATTCTACACCTTGCTCGAAGCTGATCTCTGCAGGCAGGTGTCTGGCTCCAGGGTGAGGGGGGCTCCAGGATAGCTTCCCCATGACCCTCCCAGGACTCCTGCCACCCATGTGCATGTTCCTGGGGACAGTTGTGGAGGAGAGGGAGAAGGCACCCCACCTGCCCTTTCCTTATTTCCTGTTGTGGATGCCAGCGTCCTGAACAATTACCTGATTTGGAACCTGGTGCAGAAGACAACCACGAGCCTGGACCGGCGCTTTGAGTCTGCACAAGAGAAGCTGCTGGAGACCTTGTACGGCACGAAGAAGGTGGGCTCCCCGGCCCTGCCCCGCCTTCCCATCCACCCTAGCTGAGGCCTCCCACCTCCAGGGTGCCAGGTGCAAGCGCACCGCACAGAATTTGCAATACCTCTGACTTTTAGCCTGTGGGGCCTTGGGCATGTCCCCCAGCCTCTCTGTTCCCCGATTCCTTGTCTGTAAAGCAGGAATAACTTGCAGGGTTGGCCTGAGGATCCTCTGAGCTAGCGTAAGTGAGGCCCCTACCCCATGCGCGGTATAGTGGGCACCAAGCTTTGATGAGGATGAAGGGTCGCACGCATGCTGCTCTCATTTCAAGATGCCCAGTAAGTGGGGGAGGACAGAGGTGGAACAATGGGGATGGCGTCAGGACAAGTTTCTTTAGGAAGGTGCATTTGAAGAATGAGCTCTCCCAGCGGCAGAGAGAAGGGAAGCTCACCGGAAGGAAGAGCATGTGCAGGTGCCCAGAGGCCGGAAGGGGCGTGGCGGGTTTGCTCGTGTTCCGGTAGGAGCTCGGGAACAGGGCGAGAGAGAGGCTGAGTTTGGTAAAGCGGGTCTAGGGCATCCAGGAAAGGGCCTGGCTGCGGTGTGAAGTCTGCTCCTGATTCTTTCACATGGGAACCAGGGTGTGATCACAGGTGAGCAGAATCAGAGCCAGGTTATGTATGAAATGATCTCTTGAAAGGGAGCAGCAGGGAAGGGGTTGGGAATGGAGTCGGACTAGTCAGGAGACAACTGCAGTTTTCAGCAGGAGCTGGTAGTGTTGCAGTGGATTATTACTCAGCCAGAAAGAAGAGAGAGAAGGTGTCATTTACAGGAAAGCGGGTGGGACCGGAGATCATCATGCTGGGTGAAATAAGCCCACTCAGAAAGACAAGGATTATATGTATCCTCTCATATGTGAAATTTAGAAGACAAATAAAAAGAGGAGCTGAAAGTAGAGGGAGACGATTAGAGAAGAGGGAGGGGCGTAGGGAGGGAGTGGGAGGGAGGTTAATGGGGTGGATGTGCTCAGGGCTTCCTAGGTGTATATGGGTGTGTTATCTACATGCAGGAAAACTCAGCTTAACTGAAGTGCGCTAATGAGAAAGAAGACCGCGTGGAAGGGCCAGGAAGTGGACAGTGACGCAAAAGTAGTTAGCGAGCACCAGTGATCGATGGGAGGGTTTTGGAGGTGGAGGAAGGTGGGGCGGCACCCAGGTTCCTGTCATGGGGACCAACTAGTTACGAGCCTGAGTTGTCAAGCTGGGCAGAGAAGCTTCTGGAACCATGAGCGCAGGCGAGTGCTGAGGGTAGAATGGGGAGCTGCTGGGGCTGGCAGTGTGAATCACGCTTTGTCTTCCCTGGAGTCCAGTGGAGAGCCGACACCCAAACCCAGGCCTCTGTTGTCCGGAGCTGAGCGGGTCCGAGACCAGGTAATGGAGCTGTTTCTAGGGCTGGCTCTTTGTCCCTTTCTAGTCCTGCACGCCACGGTGGCAGACCTGTATCTCCAACACGGATGATGCCCTGGGCTTTGCTCTGGGGTCCCTCTTCGTGAAAGCCACATTTGACCGACAAAGCAAGGAAATAGTGAGTCTCAGGCTTCTGCCAACACCGTCTTTTGTTTTATCTAACATTCATTGTTCATATAGAAAAAACTGGAAGAAAACGGGGCGTGGTGGCACATGCCTGTGATCCCAGTACTCTGGAGGCTGAGGCAGGAGGATCATTGCAGCCTGGGCTACAAAGTGAGCTGAAGGCCAGCCTGAACTGCATAGTGAGACCCTGTCTCAAAAAGACAAAAAGAAAAAAAAAGAAAAAACTGGAAGGAAACTCATAAATAAACGGACAGTTGTTGCTTTGGGCAGTGGGATTATGAGGACTTTTTGTTCTTTGAAGTATATAATTTTTAATAAAGTTTTTATACTGAGTTTATTATCTGTGTAATTAGGAAAAATAATACTATATTAGGACAGGATAATGGTTGTGCTTACAGTCTTACCCACAGGGCTTTTTTTTTTTTCCTGCGTGTGGTATTGGAGCTCATGAATGCCAAGCAAGCACTGTGCCACCAAGCTACATACCCAGCTCTTTTTATTTTTTATTTTGAGACAGAATCTGGCTAAATTGTACAAACTGGCCTCAAACTTGCCATCTTCCTGCCTCAGCCTCCTGAGTACCTGGGAGTATAGGTGTGCACCACTGTGCTCAGCCACAAGGGTATTTATGACAGTGTTGTTTATAACAGAGGAAATAAAAACAGTTTAAATGCCCAACCATAGCGGAAAGAAAAAACAAATTGAGGTTAGGATGGATAACAAGGCAGCTTTTACCCTGAAGACTTTTTTACCCTCTTTTTGGTGGTACTGGGGATCTAATCCTGGCCTTGAACGTCCTAGACAAGCTCTCTACCACTAAATTACAATCCCAATCCTTTCTAATTTTGAGACAAGGTCTCCTTAAGTGGCCCAGCTGACCTTGAACTCTCAATTCTCCAGCCTCAGCCTCATGGGTAGCTGGGATTATAGGCAAGCACCGCCACACCCAGCTGAAGGTCTGTTTTCCAATTTTAAAAATAAATAAATAAAAGGTAGATTGATACAGGAGGTCTGGCACATGCCTATAGTTTCAGCTACTCTGGAGGCTGAGCCAGGAGGATCTTGAGTTCAAGGCCAGTCTGGTCAATTTAGCAAAACTGTGCCTCAAAAATAAAAGTAAGAGCCAGGCTTAGTGGTACATGCCTGTAATTCCAGCATTCCAGTGTATGAGGCAGGAGGGTCATGAATTTGAGGCCAATCTGAGGTATATAATGAGACTTGGTCTCAAAAATAAATAACAAACTGGATGTGGTGATGCACGCCTATAATCCTAGCACTTGGGAGGCTGAGGCAGGAGGACTGCACAAGTTCAAGGCCAGCCTGAACTACATAGTGTGACCCTGTATTAAAAAAAAAGATATGAAAGTGAAAAAATTTAAAAAGGGGTTTAAGTGTAGTGCCTGAGTAATTGCCAGGTCCTAGGTTTAATCCCTACTACTGCCCCCCCAAGTGTGTTACACAAAATAATTCCATATTTTATTTTATTTTATTTTATTTTTTTTTGCCTTTTTGAGACAGGGTCTCACTATGCAGTTCAGGCTGGCCTTGATCTCACTTTATAGCCCAGGCTGGTCTTGAACTTGCAACAATCCTCCTGCCTCAGCCTCCGGAGTGCTGGGATTACAGGCGTGCGCCACCACACCTGGCTAATTCCATATTTTAAATGCATATACTTGGCCAGGGGACTACATTAAAAGTAGATAATTAAAATGTTAAAAGAAGCTGGGTATGATGGTACATGCCTATAATCCAAGAATTTGGGAGGCTGAGGCAGGAAGATTGTAAATTCCAGGTCAGTACATAGCAGGATCCTGTCTCACTTTAAAAAAAATTACCTCTGTGATTGAATTATAAATTGTTTTTTACTTCAACTCTTTGTTTCAATTTTCCGAATTTTCTATTAATGCTCATAGTCAGATAAAAGTCATTGTATTATATTAAATTATAGTATTAATTATTGCAATTAAAATGTTTACTAATCAGAAAAAAAGCCACCCATAATATCAGTACCTTCACAAACACTGCATTCTTTTCCTCCTCCTGGGGCCTGGGGATATAGCTCAGCAGCATAGCGCCTGCCTGACAAGTGCAAGTCTTGAGTTCAATTCCTGGTACCAAAAAATTAAAAAAAATACTTTTCCTCTTCCTGATCCTCCTCCTCCTCCTTCTTCTTGCAGTACTAGGGATTGCTGAACCCAGGGCCTTCCGCTAAGTTACAGCCTCAGCCCTACTTGTTTAAGTTTTATTTTTCTAAGTTGCCAACTTGCCCAGGCTGAGCTCACAATCCTCCTGCCTCAGGCTTCCCAGAGTGCTGGGGTTACAGGCTGTGCCACCACTCTTGGTTTTCCTTCTCTGCCCCGGGAATTCAGCCTTATTTCATGAGTCTGGATGTCCCCAGGGCTCCCCTGGAGGAACAGGCATGGACTCTAAGGTGCATGGACCGAGCACAGGAAGTGCAGAAGGAGGCTGACTCCGGCTTCTCTCTCCCAGGCAGAGGGGATGATCAGCGAAATCCGCTCTGCTTTTGAGGAGGCCCTGGACCAGCTGGTTTGGATGGATGAGAAGACCCGGCAGGCGGCCAAGGAGAAAGTAAGCGGTGGCCGTGGCTGGAGCGGCACCTCGAGGTGGGGATGGAGAATTGCGTTTTGCCTGCAGCTGGGAAGGGAAGCCTTAACCTGGTCTCTTCAGGCAGATGCCATCTATGATATGATTGGCTTCCCGGACTTCATCCTGGAACCTAAGGAGCTGGATGATGTGTACGATGGGGTGAGTACTGGCCTTCGCCCTTGCTTCCGCACTTAGGGCTCACACGCTGGGAGGGAAGGAGGTGCTTGCTGGCTCCTCTGGCTGCCGGCATTGCCGCGTGCTGGCCGTGTGCCAGGCTGCAGGCCAGATGGCAGTAAAACGTAGTGTTAATGAGGGAGAGCAGGGGCTCGGAGCCAGGTTTGCATCCTGACATGTTTCTACCCCTAACTAACTGTGTAACCTCGGACAAGACCACTCTGTCTGCAAAATTAATTAGAAAAAAAAGCCACCCATGATATCAATCCCTTCACAAACAGTGTCTTCTCCTCCTCCTCCTCCCGTTATTCACTTTGCAGGGTTATTTTGAGAACAGAAGAAGGCAGTGTGCTTTAAAAAATACAGTATGTGCAGAATACATACCGTTTACATATTGGCAATCATCTACTATTTTATTTCCATTTTACAGGTGGGAAAACTGAGGCTCGTAGAGGTGGGCAATGAGTAGTCAGGCTGGCTCTGTTATCTTCTCCAGCACATACTCATTTGTGCTTTATCTCCCAACATCCCCATAGTATGAAGTCTCTGAAGATTCTTTCTTCCAAAACATGTTGAACTTGTACAACTTCTCTGCCAAGGTGATGGCTGACCAGCTCCGAAAGCCTCCCAGCCGAGACCAGTGAGAGCGGGCAGCCCAGCTCCTGGGGTCAGCAGGGAGGCGGGCGAAGGTCTGCAGGGGTGGGTGGTCCAACGGCCCTTGCAGGAAGTAGGGCAGGGCCTCTGGGCCTGGCAAAGCACCAGGAGAGTCAGGAACCTCAGTCTCTCCCCCTTCCTCCCGCAGGTGGAGCATGACTCCCCAGACGGTGAACGCCTACTACCTTCCAACCAAGAATGAAATCGTCTTCCCTGCTGGCATCCTGCAGGCCCCCTTCTATGCCCGCAACCACCCCAAGTGTGTCTGAGGCGGGCGGGACTGGGTGCCGGGGCCTGGGCCAGTGGGTGAGCCAAGAGCAGAGCCAGAGGGGGCACTCAGAAGCCCCCCTACTGTGTCATCACTCCCTTCCTAGGGCCCTGAACTTTGGTGGCATTGGTGTGGTCATGGGCCACGAGTTGACACATGCTTTTGATGACCAAGGTAGGGGCCCACGAAATTGTCCTCTCCAGCCTAGAGTTCCAGTGTCTCCTGCAAAGGCGTGGGACGATGGGGGCGGACCCTCGGGGCTGTAGAGTCTGTGGGCCAGTGCTGGGGGGGGCACTCCTGCCCCCAGGGGGGTGAGCTATCATCTGGTGGGGCCCACAGATAGTTCTCCTTAGGGCGCGAGTATGACAAGGAAGGGAACCTGAGGCCCTGGTGGCAGAATGAGTCGCTGGCAGCCTTCCAGAACCACACGGCCTGCATGGAGGAGCAGTACAATCAGTACCAGGTCAACGGGGAGAGGCTCAACGGCCGCCAGACCCTGGGGGAGAACATCGCCGACAATGGGGGGCTGAAGGCAGCCTACAACGTGAGCGTCCCGGCAGCCCAGGGGGAAGGGCTGGGGGAAGAGTGGGCCCTGGGCACTTGTTGCCCTCTTCTCCCAGGCTTACAAAGCGTGGCTGAGGAAGCACGGGGAGGAGCAGCAGCTGCCAGCCGTGGGGCTCACCAACCACCAGCTCTTCTTCGTGGGATTTGCCCAGGTATTTGCCCTGGGGATCCCTGCTTGCTACTCCCTCCAGGAGGTCAGGAGTAGGAGGAGGCCTTCAGGGAAGGGGCTGGGAAACGGGGCCAAAGTTGAGGCATGGGGAAGAGGATGAGAAGGCTCAGAGCCCGCAAGAGCGGCTGAGGAAGAAGAGGTCTTCCGGAGGATTTTGCAGGTCTCAAAAGCAGGGCTGCCCTGCTTGTGTGGCGGGTGAGCCTCTCCTTGCTGCCGCGGGTAGGGACGGAGGAGGACACTGAAGCACTGAAGCGTGGGCCAGGAATGCAGGAAGGGGCGGGGCAGGGGTTGGGCAGGATGTCCCCCAGGTGTTTCGCCTGACAGCAGGCAGCCAGGAGGGACCCTGCTTTCGCTGCCTGTGTCGAAGTACTTGGGGACAGAGGGCTCCTGCGGTCCTTGGAGCTGAAATGTGGGCACACACCCCACCCAGCACCTCCCGCTGGTCCCCCTGAGGAGAGGGCTCAGCAGTGATGGTTTGTGCCCCTGATACGGCCTTTTTCGAGGCGTCCCCATGTCTGTCCCGGCCCGCAGGTGTGGTGCTCGGTCCGCACACCAGAGAGCTCTCACGAGGGGCTGGTGACCGACCCCCACAGCCCTGCCCGCTTCCGTGTGCTGGGCACGCTCTCCAACTCCCGAGACTTCCTGCGCCACTTCGGCTGCCCTGTGGGCTCCCCCATGAACTCTGGGCAGCTGTGCGAGGTGTGGTAGACTTTGGGGCCGGAGCGGGGATGGCCGGCTGTCGCTAGGGCCAGGGCCGGGGCCCCTGGGTTAGGAGAAAGCGCACACGAGCTGGGCTGGGCCCAGCACCTCCACATCGCAGGTGACAAGAGTCCAGGCCCCCCTCCACTACCACACTGTGCCTCTGCTTGGGGGTGGCCCTGCCTCCAGCGGAGCCCCCACCGTTCACTGTGATAGCCCTCCGTGTCACCCAGCCCGGAGGAGGCCTGGGTCGGGGGCCAGCTCCCGCAGGAAGGAGGCTGCCTCTTACGGCTCCAACTCAGTGAGCTTGCGGGTCGGGGGCCCGCTGTGCCTCCCCAGCTCCTCCTGGACTCACGCAGCGCCCGCTTGGTAGTGGGCTCGGCCCCCACCAGCCCTGCGCGCCTTGTGCTGATGTCACACACTGCTGCCCACCCTCGCGGGCAGCCCCGCTATGCTTGGCACTCAGTGGAAGCCAAAGGACCTTTATTTAAGCTTTCCTGCTGGTCCCAGCCCTGGCTGAGAGGGAAAGTGGGTGTGTAGAGGGTGCTGGTTCCTACCTTTCAGGGCATGAGTCTTGGGGGTGACAGAGTCTCCCTGGACCAAGCAGACAGAGCAGGGAGAGGGGAGGACAGAGTTTATTTTTACAGGGAAGAGGGTGGGAGGGTGTGATCTTGGCCATGTAGGACCCTATGCCAATAAACAGACCCACGTCAGTCAGCCTGTCTCTCCCTTCAGTCCTGTTTTTGTTTATTCATTTCCCCCGTCCACTAATGTTTACTGAGCAACCACTATGTGCCAGGCATTCTTCTAGACACTCATTCACTCACTCACCAGAGACAGGGGACTGAGATTTGAAGCCCTGGAGAGACAGAGTGGAGGAACGGACGGCAGCTGCTCCACTACTGAGTCTGGGTAACATCTGGAGCGGGGCAGTTAGGAAGATGGGGGTGGCCCTTATCCTGCTGAGGAGGGAAGCCCTGACCGTGGGAACCCCAGCCTGTACTTGTGGCTGAAAGGGCAAGCAGTTCCTCATGGCCTCGAAGGCTCAGAGCTCCTGAGAGCCAGGCATTCCACCTGCACAGTCATCAAGGCCTGCACACTGCCAGGCACGGACTGCAAAGAGGCCCTCCACGCTTCAGAGTGAAGGAGAAAAAAGAATCACCTTCCAACGCCTCTTGCATTCTAGCCACCTGCGCTAGGTGGCTCATTTCCATATTCACTCACCCATTTATTCACTCATACATTCATAGATTTATTTTTTTAAAAGATATTGGTCACCAACAATGTGCCAGGCACTGGGGATACAAAGGTGATTAAGATTATTTCTTCCCTTTGGTGACTGTTCTTCTGTTTCATTTTTTTTTTTTTTTGCTCTGGTACCGGGAACCGAACTCACGACCTTGCGCTTGCCAGGCAGGCGCTTTTGCCGCTGAGCTAAATCCCCAGCTCCTCTTCTGTTTCATTTTTATCCTCATGAGCTCACCTAATCCTCACAGCAACTGTAAGCATCAGCTGTCCCACTGCTGAGACAGATACCTGACACCCACAACTCAAAGGAGGAGGGATTTAACTCGGCTTATGGTCTCAGGGGAGCCAGTCCATGGTGGACTGGCTCCAAGGCAGAGACATCCTGGCAGAGGCTGTGGCACAGCAAAGATGCTTAGTTCATGTCAACTGGGAGGCAGAGCAGGAGAACCATGCCAGAAAGGAAGGAGACCAGAGGACCATATATAGTACCCAAGATCAAACCTCCATGACCCACCTAGATACATCTAGAACTGTACTTTACGAATCTGCTAGGCATTTGAAGTCCACTTGTTGACATAGCAACATTAACCATCACAGGGCTCTAGTCTTCATCAAATAGATCCAACCCTCATCATGTTGCTGCAGTCAAAGAGATCTGGATTGAAATTGAGGTTCTGACTAATTGTGGAGCTTGAGCCCGTTCCCGAATGTCCATCAGATTCAGTTTCTTCATCTGTAAGGTGGACAATATCGTAGTCACTTCCTGGTTGCTGGGACAAAGTAAACCCACCAATTAAAGAGCAGAAGTTTATTGGGGTTCACAGATAGTCCACAGTCAGTTGGCTTCCAGGCAGCAACGGCATGACAGAGAAGCACAGAGGAGGAAGAGCCGCTTACATCCTGGCCTTGTGATGGCCAAGAAGCAGAGAGAGAAGTGGGGACAGGCCCAGAGTGAGCCACCCCTTCCAGCCAGACCCTACCTGCTAACAAGTCAGTTGGCTGAACTGCCCGTGCTTCAGTCATCCTCCCAAAGCCCTGCCTAGGAGTGCGTGAGGCTGTTGGGGGACACTTGATCTAAGCCATAGGAGGCAAAATGGTAGTGTCCAGTCTCACTATTCGCTAAGACTCAGCGCTCCCCAAGGTACAAGCGGGGGGCGTTCGTCTTGTTCAAAAGGGAAAAAGTACTGGGCGTGGTGGCGTATGCCTGTAATCCTAGCACTCAGGAGGCTGAGGCAGAAGGATTGTTGCAAGTTTGAGACCAGCCTGGACTACAAAGTGAGCTTAAGGCCAGGCTGAAATGAATAGTGAGACCCTGTCTCAAAAAACCAACAAAGGTGGGGCGTGGTGGCACATGCCTGTAATCCCAGCACTTGGGAGGCTGAGGCAGGAGGATCATTTTGAGTTTGAGACCAGCCTGGGCTACAAAGTGACCTCAAGGCCAGCCTGAACTGTATAGCGAGACCCTGTCTCAAAAAGACAAAAACAAAAACAAAAACACCAATAAAACAAAACAAACAAAAAAGGGGGGGTAGTGAGAGTTTGACTGTGCTTGCTGCTGCATCTTTGGCCTCTTGGTGATGTCACTAATCTGTTCCAGTCTGTATCCTGCCCCAGCTGTTCGGCTGTCCTCACGAAGACCTGTACATGGGGCCACAGCACGTTACACGGAAGCTCTGGTGGCTCACAAGTGAAAGAAACAGCTGTACTCAAAAGGAGCAATGTCGCCATACGTGATGGCACACACCTGTAATCCCAGCACTTGGGAGGCTGAGGCAGGAGGATCACTGTGAGTTTGAGGCCAACCTGGGCTACATAGTGCGTTCAAGGCCAGCCTGAACTGTACAGTGAGACCCTGTATTTTTTTTTTTTTTAAGCGAATTCATGGGCTTAGTAAATTCCAAAACCCAGAGATATTAAATGATTTGTGGAGTTTGGGTATGGGACAGTGGATGAGACTTAGAATGTCAGAGAGATAACGACTGAAGACAGAGTTGGCAGGACAGAGGTTCACATTCCCTGACATCTGATTTCAGAGGCCAGCTTAGGATCCTGACCAGCTGACCAGTATGGCATTAAAATTCCATATCTGCCAAAAGACCAAAGTGTCAAGTAATACCAGCTTCATTTATTGTGTCCAGTAATTACCAGCTTCATTTATTGAGTCCCATGCCAGGCGTGGTGGTGCACGCCTGTAATCCCAGCACTTGGGAGGCTGAGGCAGGAGGATTGCTGCAAGTTTGAGACCATCCCGGGCTACAAAGTGAGCTCAAGTCCAGCCTGAAATGCATAGCAAGACCCTGTCTCAAAGACCAAAAAAAAAAAAAAAAAATTTCATTTATTGAATCCCTATTTTTTTGCTTAAACCCGGGGTTAACCACTTTAAAGATACTATCTCATTAAATCTCCACAGCAAGTTTTAAGGTGGTTTTACCACTGTCTCTATTTTTCAAGTGGGGAAACTAAGGAATGCACTGCTCGCAATGTCAGAGATGTCAAATTGCATTTAGGTTTGCAACTCAGATGTTCTTCATCACCACCAGATCATTTTTGTTTGTTTGTTTTTGTTTTTTCCGGCACTGGGAATTGAGCTCACTACCTCATGCTTGCCAGGCAGGCGCTGTGCCGCTGAGCTAAATCCCCAGCCCTATCATCACCAGTTCATCCTCAACATTGTGATGGCAGAGTTTAGACTCTAACACGGACATCTGTCTTCTGGCCAAATTCATCATGTTTCTGAGCGGGACCATCAGGACAGTAGGGGCATTTCCATGCTTTCCCGGGCAGGGAATGGTGACAACCAGGCAGCTGCAGGAAGCCTAGACACACACTGAAGCAAACCCAGGCAGTATCTGTTTGCTGAGAACGCTGCAGGTGCTTGGTTCCAGAGGCAAGGCGAACATTTGCGGCAGATGTGACCTCTACCGCACGCCCCTATCCGGCTGTGGGTGTGCATCTGTGATATGTCCGGGTGTGTTGGGGAAGGAGGGGAAGTAAAGGATTATGCTTCTGCACAGATGCATGCAGGGATTACTGCTGAAGTGCCGGGCCGTCTCTTATGCTGTCCCACTGGGAGGTCTAATTCCCACTCTCAAGAAGGCGACACGCCAAGAAATGCGGTTTCACCCTTGGTAGCGCTCTAGAAATGTCAGGCTGGAAGGGTCCCTCATAAAAACAGTTTCAGTGGGCCTATCAGAGATCACAAATGGGGAATCCTGGCAATTTTCCAATTCCCAGCTCTGAGCTCCAGAGAAAGCCCCCAAAGAGTCGTTATTGAACACAAAGATGACTGAAGAATATAAAGCTATTCATTCATTCATTCATTCATCCATCTGATAAGTCTTTTTTTTTTGTCTTTTTGAGACAGGGTCTCACTGTCTCAGGATGGCCTTGAGCTCACTTTGTAGCCCAGGCTGGTCTCAAACTTGCAGCAATCCTCCTGCCTCAGCCTCCCAAGTGCTGGGATTACGGGCGTGTGCCACGGTGCCTGGCCTCTGCTAAGTCTTTATGAAGGCCTACCACAAGCCAGGTATTAGGCTGGGTACTAGGAGAACAAAGACATACTTCCCTGTCCTCCAGGAGCTCAGAATAGAGACAGGGAGAGGTAGGTACACAGGGAAGAAACAAATAACCTGAAAGGTAGGGTAGCATAATGATCCTAGACAGGTGATAGTGAGCTGGAGTTCAAGGGATGGGAGAATTTACTAGCTGAAAATAGTAACGGGCATCCCATGCAGAAGGAATAGCAACATACAAACACTAATCAGCTTGAAGGGCCAGGCCATGTTTAGAAAGACACAGTGTTGCAGGTGATCAGACCAGGGCGAATGAAGGGGACATCATGGGGGTTGGGAGTCTGCAGAAGAGCGGTGGTCACAGTAGGTGTAAAGCAGGGAATCGTAAGATTTGCTGTCAGTCCTGGGAGTTAACAGTGACGGCCACACAGCCATGTGGCTGTTTGAAGATCGCCGTGCAAACAAAGCAGCAAGCCAGTGGCAGTGGTGCAGCGCCGTGAGCAGCCAGGTGGACGTGAAACGCTGCTTAAGTGAGGGCTTCAAGTTGAATGGCTCTCAGATGAGTAGAGGCATCCATAAGATACACAGTTGTACATCTAGGCCAAGTTTGGGGAGCAGCGCAGCAGGCTTACAGGTTTACAGGTGCACTTTTTTTTTTTTTGTCTTTTTGAGACAGGGTCTCACCATGCAGTTCAGGCTGACCTTGCTCACTTTGTAGCCTAGGCTGCCCTCAAACTTGCAACCATCCTCCTGCCTCAGCCTCCCGAGTGCTGGGATTACAGGCGTCGCCACCACGCCCGGCTTACAGGTGCACTTTGAAGGAAGGACAGAGAAGAGGTCCAGTAATGGGTTGGCACAACATCGGAGAGCAGTTTGACCAGGAAATTGGGAGTCTGGCCACACGGTAACAAGGAGTATTCCTCGGACGGTAGTCTGACTGAAATGAAGCTTGAATCAGGACATTGATATTATCAGGGGGCTGGGGATTTAG